AGACAGACATCCCTGCGGCACATAGAGGCCTCCAGCCCTCTGCAGGGAGGGCAGTCAGCCCATCACCCGGGTCTCGGGGCTCACGTACTTGCCGCATTTCACACACTCCTCCACAAACATGTTCCCGTGCAGCTCGGCCAACTTGTCCCTGCGGAGGAAAAGGCAGAGGTGAGTCAGAGAAGAGGGATCTGGGGGCCCTGGGGAAGCTGCCCGAACCCCTCTCTTCTTGGGGTGTCCAGTAACAACCTGAGCTTTTGCTTTCCTCAACATGCAACGTTTCTCCTCCCTGTCCTTGTGCAGTTCCAGTCCTTGGCCATCAGCGAGCTCAATGCACCAACGCAGCCAGAGCAGCCGTCGCCCACGAGAGCTGCCAACCCCGGGCAGCACTTTTGCCACGCTCACAAGATCCAACCCCACCCGCAGGGCCCTTTATCACAGAAAGGACAGGGATTGTTTTGACCAAAACTCCCCTCGTGCTCAGCACCAGCCTCAAGGTGCTGAAACCAGCAAAAAACAAGGCCATGCTCTTCCTGCAAGTCCCAGGATGACTGAGAACCTCCTCCAGGGAGGACAGGGACAGGACTGCCTCGATTCCCACAACATTGAACCACTTTGACCCCATTTCAGAATCAGTTACTTCAGTATGTGCTTTGCTCAGGTAGAAGAGCTTGTGCTAGAGCAGAGTACAAGCCAGTGGCACCAGGCTGATGGGGGCACAGCTCAGTTCTCATCTCACCATTATTTCCTAGTCTATCACTATTGTTCAATTTGAAAAGACAAGAGAGGCGGTAGGAGCAAGGAGCAGAACTTGGAGCTAATGAGCAAGGGGAAATATCTCTTTGAGGCAGCTCTCTGCTTGACCAGCACTGGCTGAAGCCAGCTGAGAGATGAATCTTCTCCAAGGTTCCATTCACGCTCCTTGATCTCATCCTAATTGCCCTTAGGATTTCATTTTCATTATTTCATTTTCTTACTCGGATTTAGCTGCTCTCCCCTTCCTTTCCAGGCAGCTTCAAGCAGTTTGGTTCACAAAACAATCACTTGCAGGTCTTAAGTGCTGAAAATGGATTTTATTGTGGGCTGACGTTTCTTCACAGGAGACGAATCTGGGGCAGCTGGTGCTAATGGAAAGGCAGGTTCCTCTGGGGACGTCTTTGATGGCTGCTGTGCAGAAGCACTTCGGTCTCTGCCCACACGAGTAGCAGAGATCTCACACCCTCGGCTCCCAGCAGCGGGAATGCTGCTATCCTGGATCCCTGACCCCACCACAGCTGACATCAGGGACTGCAACCAGTAAGTCAGAGCAGTTCTAACCGCAGGGCTCTCTCTGCCCTGGGGTCCTCCTGGAGAAGTCTGGCAAGTTTCTTTAGAGACAAGGTGTCTTTTAAGGCTATCTTGGATCCAGGCATGGCTTCATCACTGGGGCAGTACCGCCTTTAATAATTTGCTCTCAAGAAACTCAGTTTAAGCAAATCCCAACACACAGTGCTCTGGGGCTGCTCCAACAGCACCGGCAGAACATGGCAGTGCAGGTCCCTGCGAGCAGCTGGGGTGGGTTCAGAGGTCCCGTCCACCTCCCCGTGCACTCACCCCAACGCGGGCGGCCGCCGAGGGGAGCCGAGGCAGGACCGCGGGGCCGACCCCAGCCCTGGGGCCGTCCCTGTCCTCTGCCACCAGGAGCACATGGACACAAAGCTGATGTTTCCCTCTGCAGCAGGGATCCCTGCAGTTGTGTAACGCAGCTCAGCTGCTCAGTCAGCGGCTGCAGCTCCCGGGCGGTAACGCACTGCAGCACTGCCCGTTCTGCGTGCGAGCACCCGTGCTGTCTGGCTGGGCAAGCTCCTAAGGAGCATCACCCGAGGCTGATTTCATTTCATTACTACCCATTCTATTGCCATAACCACTCTTCTCTAATTCAAGCTGCTTTATCTCCAATGCAACCCACTTTCCCTTCCTTGTATGAATAGGCAGACACCTTCTAAGCTGGATGTTTCTTGGAAGCAAAACATTCAAGCCCCAGTATCAAACAAAAACTAGCTGGCCCATTTGGTTACAAGCACTGGCAAATGTTTGCACAGGCGACCACGCTAATCAGGCAGCAAGAACAGCCACGCAGCAGCGGCTGCTGCAGGGACAGGCCCAGGGAACCCGGGTGCACGGTGGGAGAAGCGGTACCGTGGGAATCCCGAACGGACGTGAAGGCCGTCCACGTTCTGGCTGACCAAGAACTTCAAGATGCCAACTCTCTGCAGTCCCAGCAGCGCCATGTGAGTCTTGGAGGGCCTGGCGTTCTCGAAGGTGGTGTCGAATTTGGGAGAAAGCCCCTTCTCCTCCATAGTCCAGACACCATTTGGCCCCCTGCAGCAGAGGGAACAGAAGAGCAATGATCACAGAATCTGAGATGCTTGCAAATGTATATTGAGGCCTACTGGAGTAAGACCAAAACTCTGTTAAATGAAGGTCACCTGTTACCAGAGATTTCCACCCTTGATGGAGGGAGAAAGCACGCAAGTTTCTGCATATACAGCCTAATACCAGACAGCAGTTTGCAAGAGAATCATAGAATCATAGAATGCTTAGGGTTGGAAGGGACCTCTAGAGATCATCTAGTCCAACCCCCTGCACACGCAGAGTCACCTAGAGCACGTGGCACAGGGCTGCATCCAAGCGGGTTTGAAGATCTCCAGAGAAGGAGACTCCACAACCTCTCTGGGCAGCCTGTTCCAGTGCTCTGGCACCCTCACTGTCAAGAAATTTTTCCTTAAGTTCCTATGGAATTTTTGGTGTTTCAGTTTCCGGCCATTTCCTCTAGTCCTATCAGTGGCCACCACTGAAAAGAGACCAGCACCACCCTCCTCACTGCCTCCCTTGAGGTACTTCTAGACACTGCTCAGCAGATGCGGCCTCACTAGGGCTGAGTAGAGGGGCAAAAGAAAAGAAAAGAAAAGGGGCAGTGTCTGCAAGGTGGTGGCTGCAGGTGGACACAGTGTCAGGGAGCTCAGTCCAGAGCTGTATGAGAAATGCAAAGGCCCAGGAGGGGCCTCACTCCTTCCACCCATCCCACGCTGTCCTGCTCCCCTTCCCACTGTCCTTACCTGAAGTCGGGAATCCCCGAGGCAGTACTGATTCCAGCCCCTGTGTGAAACACCACGTTCGACGAACTCCTTATCAAGTCCGCCAGTTCGTGCACCTTCCTCTCCACCTCCTCTGGAGGGTCAAAAATCTGTCAAGAAACAGAACGTGGTGGGCATGGAGGTGCTATGCAGTCCCCCAACAGGCACAGAGACCTATTAAACCCTTCCTCCTTATCCACAATGAATAGTGTAGGTGGTAAACAGGACTGCACATTACTTAATGATAAAAAGCATTTAACTGGAGAGAAACAGTATTGCATATCGGCCCCTACACAGCAGAAGGGCTTAAAACACCTTATGTAGCACGGGGTGCTTATTGCTCTTGCCAGTGGGCACCTGATACCTAGAGAAGCAGCTGGGCTCAAGGGCACCGGGGAGCAGCAGCTCCGGGGCCAGCGGATGCTCCGAGCCCTGGCTCTGCCCCCATGGGCTCTGCTCAGGGCAAGGAGTGGGAGCCCATGGAGCTGGGCGAGCTGGAGCCGCGGCACCTCTGGGTCCATCCCGCTTTCTAGCAGGGGCGACTGCTCCGGCCT